AGTACTTCCTTTCCCCAGTCAGCATTCAGACTGGAGGGTATGAATCTCAAACGGAGCAGCAAAGCTCGTAGTAACATTTTAACAGGATTTATTAACTTTATTTGCTTGAATAAACATTGGGATCCTCGAGCACTTTCTTTTTTGAAGATTAACAAACAACCTGGCCGCCTGACGCTGGCCTTGCCGTGTGCTGGGGGTGTCCTTCCCCTCAAGTTCCTTTACAGATCTCAACCTAAAGCTTTTATTGGGAGGCACAAGGGACATCGGCCCCAAAGTACACACCTGTATGGGTTTCTAAGCTCATGGGTAACACAATATTTCCACAGCTGCTTTGTAAGCCATTTGCTGTCAAGTAGGTTCAAAAGATTCCACGTGCGCATAAATCTCTGTGTCACCAATATACAGCGGGACAAATTTGCAAGATATTTGTACAACACAAATGCTGTTACATACTAATTTTATGAGTCATTTTTATATCACAGAGAGAAGAAAACAACACGCATCAGTTTGGATGAAATAATATTGTAATTCATGTGCATGCATAAAATTTTATAGCTATTATTTAATGCTTGTTACACCTCAGTTCCTATCTGTGTGTGGAACTTGTTTGCTCTTTATGTTCCTACTCGTACTTTACGTTCAGTTTCTGACATCTCTTCTCGAGCTATTTGCCTTGCCCAGGTAATGAGCTGTTTCACATTTGGTGCCAATTAGGAGACATTCCAGGCTACTGATACAGTTACAAATGTTGATTCCCAGAAATGTGTGAAACGTGTGGACCAGATTCTGATCCATTCATTCTAACACGCAGCAGCACCGCTAACTTCAGATGAGTCACTCGTGATTTATAGATCTGGTTTATACACAATAAAAGCGCCTGGCCCTAGCTATTTCCCTCTTACAGTTATGTTTGCTTTGGGGGACTAATTATACTGCAGGCTGCTGCTTGCGTAGGGTTGATTGTGAGCTCGTGGCCCAAACTCAGATCTGAATATGCTCTAGTATTTATTAGAAAGCCCCCTTGAGATTGGGTTTGGAGCTTGGGATTCCTAGGTTCCTTTCCTACTTGCTTAGGCAAGCTGATAAATCTCCTTTGCTCCGAACCTCTCTATTCCATTTCTACAACAGATATAATGTTGTTTGCTTTTCACACAACATGTAGGGAGTGCCCAAGAATTCTAATTTTTGAAGCAATCTGAACGCCTTGGTTGAAACCTTTTCATTTTGGACGATCTTTTATGCCTATATTGAAAATATCAACAGACTGCTTGTGAAAAAGCATTTCCAATTCCATATGGAAAATGACTGAAGGGTACGCACAAAATTAAGGCTTGCCTGTTGAAACATTAACAGATTTGTCACACTGTTAGTCTCAGAGCTGGGCCGTGCAAAGATGAGAAGAAAGCAATTCTGTGTGAGTTTGGAAGCTCCTTGCTGTCTGCAGGGCTGTTAGGGTGCTGAACAGGGGTGTTCCTTATGCCTTCTAAATTGTCTTAGGTGCTTATTTGCAGCTAAAAAGTCACCTGGTAGGGAAATTTACTGTGTTTACTTATTAGTAGACAACTGTGTTGTAGAGGATACTCTTCAACATTCAACCTGTGAGAGGTATCTGGCTTCTAAGCCTGCCTCTGTTCAGCTCATCACAGAGAGTACCAGCACGTGCCACAACTGCCAGGATCCCTAGGAGAAGGGGTGCAAAGTGATCCAGCGACCTGGAAACTTGGGAAAGGAAAACAGGTGAAATAATGTATTTACACTCGGGTGTTCCCTCCTGGTGCCCTGCCATTCCTAGCAGCTGAATGGTCACATTCAAACAAGTTTTAGTGACATAATCAGACTGAAATATTGTCCAAATTGCCTTTGTCTTTGCCATCTGTCTTTATCCCAGCTGACGACAAGGGAGACCCTAAAGCAGTGTAAGTTTAATCTGCTCTGGGTAAGTATGCGAGAGACCCAGTGCTCCATAGTACCTTGTTCAGCAGTGATCAACATGGAAAATAGAGCAGTAATCGAGAAGAACAGTTCTCTGCCATGTAAACAGTCCTCCATTTCAATCCAAATGAAAGTTGACGCAAAGAAATATCACGCACAGAGATATGCAATCTCCTTGTTTGTCTGTTGGAGCTGGAATCATGAAAACATCCTAATGTGGTCGAGGTTTGGGTAGGTCCTGGTGCCATGTGCTCCATCCCTGCTTTGCCGTTCTCTTTAACTACGTTCAAGTAGGCAAAGAGAGCTAGCAGGGTCAAATCTGCTTGACAGATCCTCTTTGCTATCTGCTGTCCAAGCCACCTGCAAAAGGTTCAGGTTTGCCTTGATAAATGTGGTAGGCAATCCAGCAAAGTAAGTAGCCCTGTGTGCTGAGATTTCTGTAACCTCAGAGGGAGAAAACAAGGAAATCGGTGCATTTCGGCGCATACCCCACTGCATGTGCATGACTAAAGATAGCCATGGTATCCCGTGCTGTACTTTGATCTCAGGGTTTCCATTTTAATTTCTGTTTTCTTAGCTTTTATCCCAAAATCTGCCTGGAAACTGTTTTTTTTTTTTTCTTCTTTTTTTTTTCCTTTTCTACACACATCATAGTTTGTGTGTGCAGCATAGGCCAAAGGGGACAAAGGCTGAAATTTGCAGGCTGCTATCATTTTTCTTTTGTTTTGGGTGCCCCCCCCCCCCCTTTTTTTTTTTTTTTTTTTTTTGTGTGTGTGTGTGTGTTGCATTCCAGTTCTGATTCTATCTGCTAATATCATCATTTGGCTTCACTCCCTCATAGTTTGATGCCCCAACTTTTCCTTGTTAGCACAGGGAAATGGTAAGCTTGTAGTGAGTGATAGCCAGTAGGTCTGGGATTGATTACAAACAAAAATCCTAGATAAGATCATAAATTTAACCCATCCCTGTGATGTGATCGTATCAGGATTCAAGTACGTCTAAAAAGTTGTTTCCGATTTTCAGCCACTTCATCTGGTTTCCATACAGCCCAGCTGGGAGCGAAGCTCTCTCGCGGTGGACCCTAATCCATGCCAGCCTGGCTTGGAAGAAGCCCTTGTTTCTGTTGTTATTGTATTATAAAAGTGGATAGAAATGATTTAGACAAGATGGCCATTTCAAGGAGGATCAGTTCAAACACTGCTGAGATAAAACTGGCCTGATAATAAAACAGGGCTGCTTTCCCACCCTGTTGCCTTCCTTCCCTTTCCCTCCCTGAAGTTTAGCTGCATTTAAACAAATTCAGAATGGTGTCTGAGCACCCTGAAAGTCAGTGGGGAACCATCAGCGAGAAAACCAGTACGTGGTTAAGAAAAGAAGGTCAGCTGAACCGAAACACGGCGAGCCTAGCAAAACCAAACGTGAGGATGTGTAGTGCCTGTTCCTTCACTGTGGGACGAGATACTTGTGCTCGGCTCGCAACCCTTCTGGAGCAAGTGCCTGTCTGTTTTTGTCCACGTCCTACATCTGAGCCGCCTGCTTTCCCTGCTGTAAATGACCACTGGGATGCAGTCCCGTTGCCTGAAAGCAGATTGAGCTTTACACCCTCCGCAGCCGATGCTCTCCCATCCATCCCCTCGCCCCGTGGTACCAGGTGATTTAATGTTACTGTGGCTTTAACGGCCTCGTCGCTGCTCTGCCTACACAGTGGTTGTCTCCTGTGTGACTGTGCCTGGGAAAATCTATTACTGGAGTGCCATTAATCTGAGGCTGCCGCCTCTGGCACTTTCTGACTCTTCTATTTAATGGGCCTCTGCTTCCGGAGCTCTGGAGACATGCTGTTTTCCTCTCTTGATCAGCTTTGTTTAATTATCAAAATATTTGATGCAGAAAATTGACATTAGTTGTGAAGGTTCCTGCCTTCCTCCTCCTCGCAGCCTCCCTCCCTGCTTTGTAGTGACATTGAGATCTTCCGCATGTACCACCTTCACCTTAAAATAGCAAACGGCTTGAACAATCATTCGCTTGTCCGGGCACAAGCCGCATCAGCGAGCCACGGATGGGGCTCGCTGTGAGCCCCCTGCTGCAGCGCCGTGCTGAGCACGAGCTGGCCCCGTGCACGGCTGCACCCCGCTCTGCCTCCCGCACGTGGAGCAGCGAGGGCAGCCAGCACCCTGGTCCTGGGACAGCTTCAGGGTGAGCTCGTCAGCGAGACTCAGGGTGGCAAAAGTCCCTCTGGAGCTGAGACTTCCACTCCTGCGTCCTGCTCTTGTCCTCAAAGCAGGCAGCTGAAGGGGTTGCAGGTGGCCCAGTTGCACCAGTGTGCTTTGCTTGCTGGTAACCACATTGCTCACTCCAGTACTCGGGATGGGCGCATATAAACCAGTATTTATTGCCCAAATGAAGATCTGGTGGCAATATGGTTCCGACATATAAGGGTCTTCACAGGTAGGGAGGCCAAAGTCCTGAAAAAGCCCCCCCATTAGCAGGCAAAAAGCACGGTAAGACCCCCGGTGGGGAGACAAATCTCAACAAGGTACGTTATTCTTAGTGCTAAAAGTCCTTAGGTGCTGGAGCAGCTATCAAAGGGAAGCAGTAAGTTTTCTGTGCTTGAAATCGTTCAGTTGGGACTGGATGCCGTTCTGGAAACTCCACTTTTCCAACGCATAACATAGGTGTAGTGCAGGGCAAGAGGGTGAAAGTGCCAGGGCTCTTGTCCTGGGCAGGCAGAGGAGCTGAGCTGGCGTTTCCTGCAGGACTTGGGGTCTGCCTCTGCCACGCTGTCCCCAGCGCTGCCGTGTCCCAGAGGAAAAGGAACCCTAAAGAGGGTCTGAAATTCGTGTCCTCCTTTTGGCAAGCCACCTCTCTTATTTCTGCTGCCTATCTGCAAAATGCAATGAAACATGAATTGCTGAGATTTTGGGCTACTGGGAGACAGAGCAGGGGAGCGATTTGTGTAACCCTGACAGACACGAGTACCGTCGTTGTATTCCTCCCTCACACGGTGCCTGCCTGCTCCGCCAGGCTTATCCCTTCCCAGTAACATTTACTGCCCTCTCTTTCTCCATTAGGCACGCCGTGCTTCCCTCACAAGACACAGGCAGGCTGTAAGGAAGGTGAGTAAAGTACAGATGGGGCCCATAAAAGTTATCCAGCTTGCTGTTACGGTGACTTTCAACAAGTAAATCACCTCCCAGCAAGAGTAATCCTCTTTTACCAGCACCACCTTAGATGCTGCTGTCATGATCAGACAGGGAATAGTTGCTGTTTGGTGTTTGTATGGTTTGTTTGGGTCTTGCTATACGTATAAATATTTTCAATTCTACTAAGTAATTCATATTAAGTTGTATTTACTAATTAATTCATATTAGAAGGCTATCTGCGGTATTTGAACAAAACAATTTACAGTGAAAAATAACATTTAATTGAAGCCAGAGCATTTTGAAGATGGATGTGCATTTTGATGAGGAATCTTGTCAGCAGCAGGGTATGTTCCTCAGCCAAAGACTAAGGGACACATTGAAAGCTCCAGCACAGATGATCTGACAGCACTGAATTTTGCAAAATTATTCAGATGCTTTAGTTTCAACCCATGGAAATGGAAGCAATGTTCAAAATCTCAAAATGTGTTGTATCACAGTATTGCTTTCCAGCCTGTTCCTGTGCCCTGGCAAGAGAAGAAAATTGTCTGGGCTACGTTCTTACCTGTTTGGATGCTTAAGTGGCAAATATGGTTGTTTCTGCAGTCTTAGCCACTTGGAAGAGTTGTTTCTCCTCTATGGTACATAAGAAACACAGTCAGGAGCAGTGAGATGTGCAGACAAAGATCCTACCCTGTGCATACACCCGCTGAATGCCCAACAGTTTTTCTCGCCAGCATGTCTGTGTTGCTATCGTTGTGTCCTCTCCCTTTGGTTTAGGGTACAAAGACACAAAGTGAGACAAGAGCACTGCCTCCAGACCCCCAGCCTGGCCTGTGTGTAACAAGCAACCCAAATGCATCCTTGGGTTTGTTAATAGACTTTTCATTAAGTTCCAATGCTTCCTTAAGTAAAGGGGCAGATTGAAAATTCATACAAAGCCTGACCGGTTTCACTAGCTAGTGCATAGTTGCATAATCAAAAAAAAAAAAAAAAGGGGTATGGCTTCTTTTTTTTTCTTTTTTTTTTTTTTTTTTTTTTTTTGTTTTTCTTCTCTTGTTTGCATGGTTTAATCTTGATGGTTTATGTTTTTCAACCTCTTATCTCTCTCTTACATTGCTTTTGTATTAGGAATACATGTATTTCTGGTGAAGTCAGTGGAGTTACCTCTGTGTAATTCTGGAATAATCAGTTGGAGGCAACCACGGACTGCTCTGGTAAGTAATGAGTGCACTGTGAGAGGTAATCAGATTCAGACTCTGCTTGTGAATATCCACTGTTAAATGATCAGTTATAAGTCTCCATGCTGTTTGGGACACAGAAATGTAAAGCCAGTCTAGTAATAGGTGTTCACTGCATCACGGATTTGGGCATAAGGAAAAGGAATATCTTCAGCTTCATTTATACTGCAAATGAAAATAATCAGAAAGATACAAACCACCAAGGTGCAAAATGAGTTTTCCAATTCATAAACACAAGCCACCAGGAGTTAAAACCTCTTGGTTTCTTCCCATAGTGCCCCAGGCAATAGTTTTCATATATATTTCTCCATGGTCAGAAGTCAGAGCAGACCACTGCTATCTAAGACCTTGACTTTTTTTCCCTGACAGTTACAATTATTACAGCCCGGGGGACTCATTTTCTCAGTCTGGCCACCCGCTGACCTAGCCTGCAACCAGAATACACTTTAAAACAAACAAACAACAGCTAGGCTCACCTCTCCTCGCTTCTCCTCCCCCAGCTCTGGAATATTTTTACACCGCACCCCTTGCAAAAGGATATTAGCCACTTTTGCTGAAGGCACAATCACATTATCAGCACCATTCTCTCTCTCTTTCTCCCTCTCCTCCCCCAAAGATAAATTTTTTATGTTGCTATTTTCTTCTCTTTTGTATTTGGCATTCGATATTTACTTGATAAACTGCAGAGCTGCTACTAAATGGGCCCTGATACAACTTAATAAATACATAACAACATCCAGACTGCACTGTATTACTTCGCTGTGTCCTGGGCTGCTAAGGAACCTTGGAGATAATGTCAGCTAAAGAAAAGTTATACCTTAGCTCAGGGGAAAAAAAAAAAGATACTTATTCTGGAATAATTATTTGTGCATTAAATGACTGCTGCTGTTGCTGTTGAAATGAGCTGCCTGATAATCTTTCCCTGTGTCTTTCTGAAGTGCGCACACGCTCGGTGTTTCTCATACACAGAGAACCTTGCTGTGTTGGAGCATCTATTCTTCTCTGGAGGAATATGTAAGTAACACACAACTAACAAATTTTTACTGGGAGACTTTCCACTGTTCTAGGCAGGAAATATCCACCAGCAACATCTGTAGGTTAAACTTTTAGAAAGGAGGCTGTGTTTAGGTGCACTGCTGAACTGAGGTGTGATTCAGTGAGTGAGTGTGGCAAGACCCAAATACAGGGGCTGGGCCTCGTTAAATACAGATATGAAAGAAGGAGATACAGTAAAAAGTTAGAGATCAAAGCTGAAGTGGAGGTTACTCACTTTCCTCTAAACTGCACAAAGTTTTCTCTATTCTCATTGTCATATTATAACACCTCTAAATTTTTAAACAAGTTTTTCGCATCTTGAGATTATTATTTTTTAATACAGAAACCAATTTAAACCAGGTAATTGACAATCACCCAATGTACAAAATATTATTCCCACATCTGCCAAGCACTGACCAGTGACTATTGCCAGCTGTGGCTGAATGATAGGAACCACCACTCAGTGTCCTGGAGCACTGCATCCCATGTCTCAGAGATCCTCTTAGACCCGCATTTAGAAGCTATTCATAAAGCCCTGGTTCTCTGGGGGAAGGTACCCAGGCATTTCTTTAGCCTTAGCCAACGCTGGGAGGCCTTCTTTGTGGAAGCAGAAGTTCCTTGTTTGATGGTAAGCCCTTCCTTATAATAAGACTAGTCAGAGAGGTGGAAAAATTTGAATGGAGATAACGTATGAGAACTGTACACCTCTGATTTACATGAGGGAACATTACTTCCTATACAGCACAGACTGGTGTTTTGTTACCTTTCCAGGAAGAAAGCAGAGAGCATTCCAAAGTCTGTATTTAACGCAAAAGAGCATTGAACAAAATACCTCAGCAAACCCTGAACCACCTGTGGTTTTGAGATGACCTGTTCTGCCTTTAACAACGTGGTGAAGAAGATGTATGCATGCATAAACGCGGACACACAGGTACATTGAGGAGTCATTCCTCCAACCTTCGCTATATTTTCCTTTTCCAGGAGGGCTGGATTTTCTTTACTAGTCTTTTCCATCTGTGTTCTAATTGCTGAAAGCATCAGCATAAAGTGCCATCAACCAAAACGAAGTGAGGCAGACTCCCACAAGCTGCAAAACTTTGCAACACAAAGCCGCAGTACAAAGAGTTTAGCTCTATAGAAACCGCAGTGAATGCTACGAAGAATCCCAGAAAACTTTGCACGATGCTTCAAAATGCACCACAGGGATCCAGCGCTTGTTACCTCCTGACACCATCTCTCTGTAAAGCAGAAAGCGTGCAGCGCTCCGTGCAGCGATTACCCCGAGGTCCTACGCATTCAGTGCTAACGGTGGAAAGTTTCAGATCTCACAAAGAAGACAACAAGGAGCTTTGATTGCCCCAGTTGAAGCTCCTGGTAAGGAACAGGTCACTTCCCTCCAAGCCTCTGAGCCTCGCTGTGTGGATATTTTCATGCCCGCTTGACAGGTGACTGGTTTACCAGACAGGGTTGTCAGTGCTGCTGGGGGTTATCTGGATTTTGCTGTAGGCAGGAACCGGACCACAATGAGCATTAAAAAAGCTCGCTGTTCTTCGTTTGTTTAGAGACAAGCCATCTCAAACTTGTTTGAAGCCTTTTTTATTGAATTCACACTCTTGTGCCAAGCACTGAAAGATTTACTTTGGCTATTGCTGCAAGATGGAAAGCATATGAATGCGTGGCTGGCTGCCAGCTGCGGGTGCGCAGTGAAAGCTCTGGTACAATGGCCGGTTACATGGAACAAATGTGAATGCGCTGGGCAGACGTGACTAAAGAAAGGCCTTGGCATTCAAAGAACTGTTTGAGGTTTTATCCAAGTGACTGAAGTAGGGTCAAGAGATAACACTTCCAACCAGCAAAGCAGCTGAAAAGTAGCGAGCTACAGGTACGTGCGCGCGTCACCTGAAGTCGCAGCTGCCTGGCTGTCCTCGCAGGCTCCAGCTCTTCCCCAGATGCCATCTGCGAAGGCAAAGACCCACTTGGACTTATCCAGTGCAAGGCACCCCAACTGCTGTTGTATATTTCTTGCAGATGTTGCCATAATTTTGTTGTGGTACAATTTGACATACGGCTCCCTGCTGCATCCGAAAGGGGCACATTATCTCAATTAATGTTTCACAGCAAACGTGGCACTGATAGTATTCATGGGACTAAAGACTATTACCATTTGCATGGTGACTAGAACAAGAATTATGACTATGTGTGTTTTCTGCAGCAAAATTTGCCCTTGGGCTCTTTTTTTTTTTTTTTTCTTTTTGGCTTGTGACAATGTTCTCTTTTTCTTCCTCCTTCTGTTTTGATTTCTACTTAAAGTTTTATGGCTCTGTCCCCTCCAGGGTGCTATTATCTTGTATGCTAATAGGGCTATGCATATTCTATTAGCGTTGTCAGTGTGAGATAAGAGGCACATTCTGTAAGGAGCACTCAGGGGGTAATAATCACAGCAAGGGGTCTCAATGTTAGTACATTATCAGTCATCTTCACATTTCAGTGGAGCCTGTTTATGCACCTCTTCAGCTGCGCAACTCAGACACTGAAAATTGCTGAATGTTTACGGAAACTGTTGTAGAGGAACATAATGAGATTTGAGATTGACTTGATAAAGGAGCCTTCTCCCTTGTTGCTTCCAGATACAAGATGTTTGGAACTGCATGCAGTAAGTAGGATAATATGTTATAGGGCAGTTAGCAGCTAAAAGCAGGCTCGGATCTGTATTTCAAGCAGTAGAGCAGCTATCTAGGAAAAGATATCACGAGGGTCAGCATCGTTGTGCTTTCTTCAGAAATTTCTCTTTCTGTCTCCCTTTTCTATGTGGTTACACATAAATGGGCACACCTGGTTCACATCAACAGGAAGGCTGACAATTTTTACACCCTTTAGTCTTGAACTTGAATGATTATAAGCCAGTCCACAGCAAGAAAATCAGTGACAGGATGTGAAGGGCAAATGAGTGACCATATGCAACGCTGAGTTAAATAGCAGTCCTTGGTTGCAGCAATGGCCAGTGGCTGTGAAATAGGTGTCGTGTGAGTGTTTTTTCCAGCTATTGATGCTGCTATGGGCTGGTGAGGCAGAGGCTTTTCTGCTGCTGGAAATGTCTGTTGTTGCTCCCAGCTGACTTGTGCTCCCACCAAACCAGGGACTTTGTAATAAATTCAGTGCCTGGTTTTGCAGACCATGGGAAAATACATGTAGCCTAATGAGGAAAGACACAAAATACAGAGGTGAGGAGCTAATCACGTATTCAGAACGAAGGAGCAGACAGTTCCTGGGGACAGATGGGGAACTTTTGCTGTAAAACTTTTCCTTTCTGCAAATAAAAAACTAAACATCCTGCCATGGGCAAAGGTTTTAGGAGAGCCTTAAAATGTTAGTGAGTATAAATATGCAAATTCCTAAATGCATAGATGCCTAGTTAGATGGTCTAAAATTAATTCCTGGGAAGCAGCAGCTATATGCTGGCTACAGCTGAACAACCATAGCAAGAAGGAAAGTGCTATGTTTTGGATCACTTCTGTAGTACTTAAGATTACACATGGATATGAACACTCCTTACTTTAAAAATATTTGTCCTTGACATTTCCAGACACATGGCTCACACCAAATGTATTCAGCTCCATCTCCTGAGGGTCTTGAGATTAAAACCCCTGCTTTCTCACCTTGTGATCTGGCATTAATAGCTGATAGAAAAATCACATACATGACTGACATCTTCCTAGAAATGTGAGACTGTGGAATTAATGAATGCCATGCTGGAAAGCAGGGGTCAGTTTGGAAATAGGATTTCTGTTGCCAGCCATCCAGTCATGAACTGGACAATCTGCCGTTCATTTTTTTTCTTCAGCATTGAGGAAAATTGGTCTGGAGAATAAAGCAGTCAGAAAATAAGTAGCTATGTTTCTTTGGCCACTGGAGGTTGATGGACTTTTACGGCTTGTGGAAATCGGGCTGACTTCTGGTTTACAGAAGAGCTGTTAGCACATTCTTCGTGCCTGCTAAGTTCTTTATCCTGCTGTTATCCACAGAAAAAAAATTTGCAAATCTGTAAATCTGCAACTTCTAGAGGCTTGGGTGGCCCAAAGAACTGAATGGCAGACACTGTGGTACTGTTAGACCAAAGACAGAGATACAGCAGTGCTAGGTGGCTGCGCTCCCACCCCCTGGATGGTTGGTGAAATGTCAGGGGAAAAGATACCCTATTTGGGGGGAGAGGGGTATTTCCAGCCCCAAACTGCATCAGCTGGAGAGAAGGGGCCATGGAAAAGTCTGTTCCATATGATTTCAAATCATTTTCAGCGAAATAATATGTTTGGTGTACCTTATCTGATGTTTCAAGATCCCCTGTGACCCCAGCAGTGCTAATATTGTTGCCTGTTTTCTACCTTCTCTGCTGCATCTGTCTACAGTTTTGTCAACACTGATCTTGTCAATGTGGCCGTGATGAAATCACGTTTACTCATGAAATAATACCACTCGTAAATGAAACAGCACAGCCCCTGTACAACACTTTTCACTAGCATGGACTTAAATTGCTAGCAGCTCTGTGGAACTAGTGATGATCTCAATGAAAAAAAAATAAAAATCAGCACTTCCTAGAAAGTAGATGGTTTCATGAAAGAAATAATGCCTTTTTGTGTATTTTTAGCATGAGATCAAAGCTTGGAAGCATTTGTTTTCTTTTCCCTTTTACTTTCTTTCCAATTTTCTGTTCTCTTTTTTCAAGAGCAAATGAAGAAGAAAAAAAAAGATAAATACAAAGGGAGCTGGAAGAGAGAACTGGAAAGGAAAAACTTTTAGTTAAGACTTTTTTTTTCTTGGTAAAAAAAAAAAAAAAAAAAGAAAGAAAACCAGGGATATTTGATTGAAATGTTTGCAGGTGTTTTTTGGTTTTGGTTCTTTTTTGCGAATGACATGCTATTTCTCATTGTTCTGTCAAGGTAGCTCCCACTCCCTCTGAGCTCTGCTGCAATCATTCTTGTTGCTTCTGGGTGCACACTGGTTATTTTGGCTTCCAAACAACTCCCGAGTCTGTCAGCTAAGCGAGAAGACAAATGCGAAAAGGGAATTACGTATCTTCTTTTGCTGCTCTTTTTACATCTCATCAGAAAACAGCAACAAAACAACAACAGCAACAAAATCCTATCTGTGCCCTGATCCCTTTCTGCACCCACATTGTACGAATGCACTGAATGACTTTAATCTGAGCGAGGGTTAATTCTCTTTTCTAAACTCCCTCTAACTGGATTCCTAACTATAGGTGTGATCAAAGGAAGGTTTAATTAAATCAAAGGTAGTTTGCATTCAGCTAAAGCAGTCATTATAAATAGGTTTTCTTTTTAAAGGGTCGTAATAGCTGTGTTTGTTAAAAGGACAACACTAGTGAAAGATCTGAGGGCAAATTATCTTCTGTATTCTGTGACTTCCTTATTGTTTCAGAGCAACTTTTAGAAAAATAAATCCGAAAGCATCCTGTTTACCTCAGCCTGTGGGATCTGTAGGTGACAGAAGAGAAAAGCCCGTGCCACCAGCGTGCTGCAGGCGGCCTTATTCTGCCTGAGCTGTCCCACTGCTCGTGGCAGCCGGGCAGGTAGTACCATGGGGCTGAACCCAGCCACCACTGGGAGCTGTGCAGGAGTCCTGGTGCTGGAAGACGAGATGGGACCCACAGCCACTTGTATGTCTGAGAGCCATCCCATTTTGATCAGCAAGCACATGAACATTGCACGGGGAGAAATGTGGAAGCAATTACTTTAAGAGCCGTCTTTTGGGCAATTCCCAAAGAGACATCAGACCCTGTATTTATGAAGCCTATTGCATCGGGCCCTAATGAAGCAATTAAGCAAAGGGTCCTCTGTGTTTGATCTAAATGTGGTAATTTTTACAAAAACATCGCCGAGTGATAGATACCCATAACTCAGAGTCCTTAATTGTACTTAATTTGTTTGGAATACGAATGTGCATTTAATTAAGCCAGGGCTTTGCCCACATGTTTAAAGAAGGGCTGTCAAGGAAAATTAAGACCCAGTTTGTTTTCAAAGTTACTGGTTTTTATCAGGCCAGGACAGCGATCTTCGAACAGAAGGTTACAGATAATTAGGCAGAGACCTCAAGCCAAAAAAAAAATGCAGAGACACTGTACAGCTGAGAAAGCAGGAAGAAAAACTCCTTGATGAAGAAACATAAGAATCGGCTGTTCACATAGTAAAGTCATGCATGGCTAGGATTTGGTAAATGTGACCTGTTGGTTAAAATGTGTTTTGCGTTCTTCAGCTCCAGCAATGTGGATGGAGCCTGGCTGTGGTTAATGGCAAAGCAGCTGCCTCTGGCACCAGAAGTCATGCTGCGCTTCAGGACCACTAGGAGCTGATGGCATCTCCATCAAATGACAAGAAAGTGCAGAGGACAAAAAGCACTTTTCTTGCTTACTCAAAGTTACTGAACCTGGACATTGAAAGGTGGTTTTAAAATTGTCTCTTTCCCAAGCATGGAAATACCGTAGGTGCTTGTCATTCTGTTGGGAAGAATATTAGTCTGGTGCACGGAAGAGGACTTTATTCCTGGATAAGCAGTGCTTTTGACTTGCTGATACTAGTACAGAAAGCAGCAGAATACACTTTTACATGAGCAAAAATATTTCAGTAGGAAAGAAAATATTTTAATAGGGGAGGAAAGATTGTAGGTGAAAATGCTGAGATGTGGATTTAAATATTTTTTTCTTTCTTATTTAGTGGAAAAATAATGAAGTTGAAAGCAAATAATGCTTCAACACACGTGAAGAAGAAACGGATTTGGATTCTGAAGAATTAGTATCAGCATTACAGCAAACAACGTTCATGTGTAGACACTGAAACCTCTGATTTCTGTGAGTCCTTCACGAATCACATGCTGGTTATCAGTTTCTCAACACTGTCATTTTTAATGTCATGGTGAGGCATTTATGTCAAGACCCTTATTGTGGAAAATAGTTTCCCTGGCATTATCTCGCAGCCTAAATAGGTTTACGTGGCTGACAAGGAAAGCTGTGCACACATCACTGGTGAGCGGTGAGGTAAGTCACAAAGAGAGTGACTCGTCTATGGAAAGGTGGTGCATCTGTAACAGAGCTGAAAATTGAACCCAGATTCCCTGCACCGAGGGAACGTCGGGGCCTGAATTGCAAAAATCATACTCTGAGTGTTTTGATGGGCTACCGCTCTGATGACAGCTGCAGTGGTTCTTAATTACGGATCACAAAACATGTGGAGAATCGGTAGAGTTTTTAAAGGAAAACTCACTGCGGATGGTGTTATCTCCTGTTTCGGGATCTGCCTTTAACTGATTAGTAGCTAATTCAAGCTGGCATCTCGCTGTGAGATGGTACCTGGCCTTTTCTGCTTGGGTGGCTCAATTTAAAAGTTGGCAGAATACCCAGAACAGCATCAGAGCTAATTTAGTATAAAATTATTTGACTTAAAATAAACAGAATAAAATAAAATAAATCCTATGGTATTAGAGTTCTCTTGGCTGGATTGTTTTATGCCTAGCAAAGATTTATGGCCTGCTGTTGTTAGAGCATCAGAAGGTCTGTACAGAGCCCAAGTACCCTGCAAGCCCTTTACCAGGGGTCTCTTTGCCCCCAGTGTCATAGGCATGTGAAAGTTTGCAAACCCCCCCCAGAATGAGATGCTGAAGGGGAAGGATGCTGTGGGAGAGCAAGAGGGTGCTCAGTGGCACCGGTGAGGCAGAACAAAGGCAGGGAGGTGCTGCCGTGCATTCCAAAGCCACTCCAAGGAGGTCTCTCTTTTTTTGATGTATCTGCTAAGCACATTGAACCAGTTTGCACGCGCAGGCCCAGAACACAATTCTTCTCGTGGTAAATGAGCATGTCAGCCGTTTCACCCCCTTACTGGTGTTTAAAATTTTTGCAGCAATAATGGAGAATTTGAAAGGACATCAGAGGTGGATTTACGGGACTCCTGGGAAATCAACTGTTTCCTGTTTCAACAGCTTCTTCATCATAACTTGCTTTCTCAGTCACTGAATGATGTTCTATTAATCTTGGTGTGCAATGATTACTATTAAATGCAGAGCTGGATTGAGCCTCAATTTGTGAAATAACCTTTTCTGTGTCTTCTGTGAGTCCAGCATGGTAAACTTTGGGTAGAGGTCTACTGACCAAGTGGATAATTGTGTTCCAATGCATCCCGTCAATAATGCAGATAAAAAAAGCTGGAGTGAATAATTCATTTTGCCTCCACTCATTTTGAATTAGTCTATTCATGTATGTATCCTTTCCAGTCTGCCTGTCTCTATGCGTGCATGTATTTACATAGCAATGTTGTAATTCTCAGGTACTTAAATATCAAAGCAATATAACTACTACTCTTTGCATATGTTCCTGACTATGCTGTGTGATTGCATATGTATAAGTCAGCATTGTATATTGTACCATAAAATTCAGGGCTTGGTTTTAAGATGAAACATGACACATCATTTCTGCTGCTGTGACGGCTATCTAAAATTAATATTAAAAAACTTTCAAACATGGGCAAATCATTTTGGCCTGGCTATAAATTACAGAATGCATATTTTGGGCTGCGTTCAGATGCAGTGCTGCATGTTGCCAAAGATCAGATCACATGCTCACAAGTTTACCTTGCTTTTACCTTGCCAGCAACTTCTGGATCCTAGGTCAAGCATAGCCTGCGAGCACGAGGAAGCACTTGCCTTTGGGGATGGCGTTCCTTGAGGGGTAAGGACAGCAATGAAATTGTCTGCGCATCACCGGCACCTGCCCACAGCTCAGGAGCCTTCATCTGAAAAGCTGGTTTCCTGATTGAATCAGGTTTGTCAGAAAAGTCTCAAGAAGCATCTGAAATCTGCACAGACAGCGGAACGGCCCGTGGCTCTGGTCTGTGGCAGTGTATCAGCCGTGTCTGAGAGCTGTCACTGCCCCGTGGTGGATTTGTTGGCCCACTCGATGCACAGCTCTGCAAGACGAGGTACTGGGGATGTTCCCGAGGGCATGGGCTGTGTGTTCTCCAGCCTTGGGCAGCCAACAAGTTGTGAGCACGCAGCTCCTAATCGGGGCTGGCAGGGCAGGTGGTTTATCTGTGCCTGAGAGGTCCTGCTCTGCAGAGAGGCAGACGCTCGTTTTGCCTCCTTGTTGTGGGCTTTTCAGTTTCCAGTCCATTACAGGTGACACAGCCGATAAGGAGCCTGTCTGTCAGCGCCGTCCCTGGAGGGGCGAATCTTCATCCCTTCCTGTACTCAAAGCAGAGCCGCCTGCTCACGCTTTTTCGGATCATGCTGGGCACCAGGTGAGGGCTGCTCTGCTGGAAGCCAGGTCACAGCATCCCAGCCCTGCCAGGCCCTGTCCCACACAGCCTGCACAGCAGCTCCAGAGCAAACCTCCTCCCCAGTGGGGATGGCAGTGCGTAAAATGAATGCACTGACATTTTCCGAGGGGGTCAGAAGAGGAAAGACTTGCAAAGCTGTTCTGTGAACAGCTCCAACCCCCTGCTCGGGATCTAGGTTTCGCTGGTAGTGAATAAGCGTGCTGCTCACTACTCTGAGCCTTACCTTTTTTCCTTTGAGCTGACCTCAATTCTAACTCAGCTTATTACAGTTTTGTGTCTGATGTTTCAAAAATTACTTTCCTAGGGTTAATCCCTAACCCACGGCAATACCATTAGGGAAGTTATCTGGCAGACTGACTTGTTACCATTTAGAGCAAGCGGTCTTCTCAATTCATAGAAATCTGTATGTATTATTCACAGATTGGAGAAACTGGAGCAACATTTCTACAGCGCAATGCTCTAGTTTTGCCTGACAGACCTGTGCTAATTACTCTGTGTGGTTTTGACAGAGAGCCAAGAATGGGTTGTAGAAAAATGTGTATCACTAAAACTTAGGTCCCCAAAGTCAAAAGTAAAACAAACAGTGAGAGATCATTATCTGAAGCAGACCCTTACTAGCTGTGTACAGAAAAAAAGTCATTCCCATGTTTTGTTTTCCTTTTTTTTTTTTTTTTTTTCCTCCTTTAGACCAAGTAGTCCTGTCTGTATTTGGAAATATCTTGAGCTTGTACAGTTAGGGCAGACAGTACATTTATTCTGTTTTATCCCTTTTTTCCTTCTCTTTGAAAGGCTATAGCTGGCTCTGGGGTGGACTCTTTGTGTGGCCTTCAGTGAGTCACTTAACCTTCCTGTGCATCAGTTTACTCATTTGTAAAAGGAGTATTATAATAATAGGCACCCCTCGGGGGCTCTTCCAGATTTAAATAATTAATGTTGGTAAAGCAGTTTCTGAGGCCCAGATTAAAGGTGCTAAATAAAGGCAATATATAAGTATTTTTTACTCCAGCTCCTTACAGAAAGACCAAAGCAATAGCCTGATAACTCTTGGACTTAAAGCTGGGAATTAATGCTACAGTGCTCAGAGTATATTTTGATTTCTGTGGTCCTGATTCAGCAGCACTCTTAAGCCCATCCTTAATTTTGGAAAGGCCTGTTAATTTCCAGGGGCACGGATCCCAATCTGGAAAGCTTTGTTGAACCAGTTCCTGGTGACAGACGAGAAGGATCAGCTGTGCGCGTATGTGCATGCATGTGTCAGTGTGTTTATCCTTTCGCATTTCTGACCTCAGTAAGAACATCAGTGCAACAAGAATATAATCAGCAAGCCTCATAAAGGTTGCAAAATTCATCCGGGATGCAAATCAATAAATGTAACAGGAGAGAAACTACAAGCTGTGCATTTCCACGGAGGCGCAGATTTTGTGGGATGGATAGACGCTGCTGAGCATGACCTAATGCCGCAGGAAAAAAAAGCAACCACAGACCTCAGCATCTAAACAGTATGAATATTGAACCAGAGGTCCTTGAGTAATTGTCCTTTCTTCACTCTAGGGGTGAAAAGGGTACATTAGACATTCACTAGCAGCAAATGGCACCTGACATCTCTTTAAGTGAAAGTCAGCTTGGAATTTTTTTTAATGGCCAAGCATAAATCTTTTAAATTATAAATCAATAAATAGTTAATTCAATAATAGGAATCTTTTAAATATTTAATGAGTCATATGCAGAATGGCTCTATAACTGGATGTTGATGGAACTGTGTCAGAGGAATTTGAATCAAACTTTTCTAAACTCCCCATATTAAAATAGTTATCGATTCAAACATAAACTATGAGGACTGTTGCAAAAGTAAGGGGGGGTGGAGGGGCTTAGCATACATTTTCTCATCCAAGAAAGTGTAGAACTAGCAGCTTATTTTTAATGATGTATTCTTGAGCTTTTCAGGTTGTATTAATGTTCCCAGAACAAAAATGAGTAAGAACCTATGCAGACGAGATTTTGTGTGTGTGCATATTCATTAAAATCTTGTTTTAGTGGCAGCTGTGCTCTTAAATAAAAGCTGTGGCAGTCTGCCTCTCATTAAGGGATTCTGCTAACCAGCAATGGCATCGGTATCCTGAACTACCTCCATCTGAAACCGCCCCAAAGTTTAATTTATTTACTAGAGTTTCAAGTGGAAGACAGTGGAGGTTGTACCCACAAACGCTAGAGCTGCTCAGCTTGTTCCTGCACAATTTTCTCTGGGGAGATCTGTAGGCAGTGTTCACTCTCATTAACTCCGTGCTGCTCTAAGTCAACAACAGTGTTCCTAATTACCCTGAACTGGAGGAATCTCTTCTCAACCCACAGACCACATTCAGTGCACTGCTATTTCATAGCAGATACGGCATCTTCAACTGTTCTGGAGTCTGACCTTGACTTCCAAAACTGTAACCTAGCTCTCATGGTCGCAGTAAGTCCTCTTATCCAGTATAACCAGAGCCAGAGTCTTATCCAGTATAACCAGAGCCTCCTCAGCTGGCCCAGTTGTTGGTCTGGCAGGCCAAACATCAGCGTTCCTTCAGCATTTATTTCAGCGTTGGTGCTGGGCACTCCTGGCAGCCTTGGTTTGAGTATCCCTGAGTAGTCGCTGCTGGTAACAAGGGTGGAAAGGATGGTGCTGAGAGCAGGGTGCGGACGTTGCTTCGGTGGGGGAAACACAGGCAAACAGGCAAGAAAGGTGCAAAGAGGCTGGAGAAGGATTGGACAAAAAGCTGAGGTTCTTTCAGAGTTGCTCCCTGACTGGTAGGTTTGCTTTGGGTAAGCTTACGTGCATTCAGTGCCACACATTTCAGAAACACGTCCTGGCATTTGAGGAACAAAAAAGGCTTTTATGCAAGGCTTGTTCACCATTTTAAAAGCTTCCGGCTTTTAAGCCACTCAGCAAAAATAAATGGTGTCTTTACATTCCTTTAGCAAAGATAGCAACAAAGGTGTTTGATGTTGACTCCTGAAACAAAGAAACACGGTATCAGAAACGCCTTCTCGTCACACCTTATCGTGCCCATTTTACAGATGGCTAAATATGTTTGTATTCCGAGGGGACAAAATTTGACCATACAGAATTCATCCCGCCGCCTCTGAGGGGCAACCAGCCCTGATGCGGGCCCTGCTGTTTGCTCTACACATGCCTCTGTAGTCAGATGGAGTTGGTTCAGTATTTGTAGCAGATCCGAGTTTCATTTGTATTCTGTACACCTCTTCTCTCCCCTCTCCGTGCATGTACATCCAGAAAAGCTGCCTGCATATCCTTGTTTGGTTTTTGTTGTTTTGTTTTGTTGTTGTTGTTTTCCCCCAGGATGACAGATACTGTAACAATGAGAGTAGATTAATATCTCCTTAATCAGCCAAATGAACGTGACACACAAGGGTGACAGTTCAATTTGGTGCTAACAGATTGTGCCTATCAGAGCCCTTCCATTCCAACGGATGTTTATTTCTGGCAGAGATCATATGGTTCTGGGAGGACCCCAGCTCCCACCAGCTCATAGACACCCATTAAATACATCAAGTACCACATAGGTGTTACTCACCCGCCTGTCAGGACACTAGCTGCTTGGGAAATGAAATGAGCCTTGACACACGCAATGGAGACACACTGTCACTTAGCCGGGCGAAGCGGCAGCATGTATTATTGACTACCCGCTGCTGCAGGTCCCTCTCTTTATTGCTCGCTATTTTTTGTTTGCCTGTGGACCGTTCGCTGCTGAAACATGGATCAGACACCGAGTCTGTCTCCTGGGGAGATGCATAACGAAATGTAATGGGGAGGAAATGCAGACGGGGCAGTGGTTTAGGTAAAAGTGATACATTAAATCTTAGTCCCAGAACTGGCGGTGCTCGGAGTTTGTTTGCAGGTGGGATTTCAGGAGGATCTGGTTTCTAATTCTGAAATTCAATCTGCAGGCTCTAATTCAAATCTTTCTTTTCCTGCTTCCTGCGGCGTTTCAGATGAAGTAGCCCCAGATACTGTACAAAGGAGCTGCAAGTCCTTCCCAAGGGCTGTCCCTGCTCCTGCCCTCGTCTCGGCCACGGCCCCTTCTCTCTTGTGCAGGCTTGTAACACAACACCTAAGCCTAGGAGGGCACCGCCATCAAGGAATCGAAGTAAAGCTTGGAATTTGTCAGGCTGCATTGTGGTGTGACCGTCGTATCAGTGCTTGCAGCCCCAGCCCCAGCTGCCTGCCCAGCGCCGTGCTCACCGCCTGGCTGGGGCCGCGGGGTGGCACGCTGCGTGCCGAGGCATTGCTGCTGCTGTGTGAATCTGTCCTCAGCACTCACAGGTCTGATCCTGCAGCCCACTGCTGCCCACGGGAATGTAATTGAATGGGAGAGTTCTCCTTTGCTGGATGAACCCCAGTTATTTATTTTCACAGTGACTCACACCGGCCATCTGCCTGCTTTTGTTTAGACACTGTTGCAGTGCCCTTCCCATACACGTGAAATTGCTAAATTTTGTGGGGTCCCACCCAAAAATAAATCACATTTGTAGACCTCTGCAAACCTCATCCACAGAGAGGGAATGCTCCAGAGCTTAGCGGCAGGCTCATTGCATTACCTTCTGGTTTTCTTATGGAACTTGGTTGCACAACTCCCAGCAGTTCGCTTCAGAGAAGACAAGAGCCGTGTTTATTTTTGAAAGATAAAATGCAAGTAAGTTTCAGCGAAAAAGGTTCCAAGACAAAATTAACAATAAATTACCCAAACAATGACATTAAAAGATATCCATGTGATTGTAATTATGAAGCCAAATCCTTCCAAAGGAGGGTTCTGTCATTTCCCATACTTGTTACAATTGCTGTCGTACAAATGTGTTTGGTATTTTTATCATTTTTTTCCTTCTTATTACAGGTTTTGTCATAAGAATAACTCATCAAGGTTTTATGACTAATAAATTCTCTAAATTACAGTCCAAGGATGCATTACTTTAATTTTTTTTCTCCGTATTCTGTATTTTAATTGCCTAGCTATTTCCCACTTGCCTTTTTTAATGACTCATTAGGCTTAAGGGGAAAGAATAGAATTTAGTCCACCTAAGATCTTGCATCAAGTTCTGGGCACCTCAGAAAGGAAGTGATATATGACAGGAGGATAAAAGTGACTTGTATGTCTCAGGAGAAGACTTTGGATTTTGAGTATGAAGGATCCTCAAAACCGACAAAAATACTTAAGAAAGCCCCAGGCCAGGAATTGATTATTAAAATTATTGGAACAATTATTCCTAATAAGAAATGCATTCAAGAGGCATTTGTAAAGTATAGATACAGGCATAAACTTTACGTGTAAGTAGGTCTACTGAGTTCATTGGAGAGTTCTGAAGACTAAAATTAGGTGAGCCTGTAAGCACGCTGTGAAGCCAGGACAAGCAGAGGGGATGTTTTTGGTTACACGTCCTTTTGGGGACGGAGTGCAGACAAGGGCAGACAGCAGACACGCAGACAGTGCACCTCCTGGGCCTCTCTTCTGGAATAAAGGGGAAAAAAAGTGTTTTGAGTTTGATGAACCCCTGCCCATTCCAGCACTGCCACATGCTATCAGAAACACACTCCAGGATAACCTACCATGGTACCTGTGTAAGCCAAGAAGGCCCCAAAATGCCTTTCCACATGCAACCACAGGATCATTTTACCATCCTGCCCGTAAACACCCATGTCTCACACACAGGAACACAAGCCTGGCCTCGATTTTAAACATCAGAGAGATGTGAGCCCCAAGGAAAATATTAGCTGCCAATTCCAGCTGCGCAAAGTCTTTTCTTCTAGGTGGTCCTGGAGACCTTGTCTCCTGGATGGACCACGGCTGCTGTGGTCCTCCTGCCTGGCTCGCGGGCCGTGCCCCACTGACACTCATGCACACCCCAGCACGCGTGTGCCAAATAAATCGCAACAGCTTCTGCTGACACAAGGGCAGGAGGCTGACCCGGGAAACTCGCTCCTTTTTCTCTGTACCTTGTTGTTAAATTGGTCCCAGATTTTTATGGGCCATCACTGGCATGGATTTCTCCTCTGACCATTTGGGTTTCAACATGAGGTCATTAACAATCTGCTTTGGGGCAGAGCAAAGCCCTTGGTCTCCCAGTGTGTTCACCAGGTGGGCACCACGGTGCCACAGCAGCAAGAAGGGCCCAGGGGACGAGCCCCTGCCCCCCCCCCCCCCCCACCTCCTCATCTTCCTCATTGCAAAGGCTCTGCCAAGCCTGAACCCAGGGCAGGGAATGCTTCCTGTTGTTGTTTGTCTTGCAGGTTTCGGAGGAGGGACACCCGACCTTGGCATTTTCCCAGTGGGACATTGCTGCCATGGGCTCTCCTGCTCGACCTTTTCCAGCACCGCACGAGGGCCCTGCGAGGAGCTTCAGTCTCCATTGCACTGTCCAGCTCAGAGAGGACTTCTCACCTTTGAAATTTACAGAAATGCTGGCTAACTGCCCCAATTACAACCTGGACAGGCAGTTGCTTGGCAGAGCAGTGCCTGTATTTTCAGTCCCAAGCTAACTGGAGTGGGAGAGCGACTGCCAGGGGAGCGGTTCCTGTGCCTGTCAGCACTCTGCCCTTCTTCACTGCGCTGAGGTACTCTCTACCTTCTCTATTCTATTCTGTAAAAGCCACCTGTTAGCATGAACAATCACGGTCATCACAGTTCGAAACTTGCACGTTGAGCCAGTCACAGGGAGCACACCGAAGGCACAAATGTGGGGCTGCTTCCACGCTCAGCCTGCAGAGCAGCAGGCCTCAGGTGGCAAGGCAACGAGCACCCGGAATGGAGAGAAAACACCTGAGTGTAACACTGGGTAATGAAATACAGTTGAGGAAGTGGGATAGCTGCTAATGGGCAGAGTTAAATCCCCAGTACCAACAGGCAGATGTTGTTTGCTGCATGGCTGTGGCAGGGATTTGGCTGAGCTGTGCTGGGCCTCTGGTGAGCGCACGAGGTTTGCCAGTGGAGAAGCCATCTCGTGACGTGTATGGGCCCGAACATGACAGAAGAGCTCAGCTGCTGTGCTCTTGTCCCCCTTAGTTAGGAGCTGGTGGTTTAATTTTGCTTTAGGCAGACCTAAAGAGCAAGTTGAAAGCCCATTGACTGCACGCTAACAAAAGCAGGAAAATGCAGCTTTACGGGAGTGACTGCCACACAAATCTCTCTAGAGGGAGGCAGAGAGCTATTTCTACAGGAAGATTTGATAGTTTATGTGTGCAGCACAATCAGGAGCAACAGAAAAGCACTCTTTGTCAAGTGTGTTTCAGGTGGCAGCACAGGTTATGCTAGTGGCAAAGTCCTTAAATATTCACCTCCATCATCTGCTCAGCAGGATTTTTCTCTTGCAAAAGCTGCACAGCACTTTTCCTGCAATTGCAGCTCTCTGACCATAGCCCATCTTGTGCAGAACCAGGGGGTGCTTGCAGGGAACCAGCTCTGAACTGGGGGCTGCCTAATCAGGACTGGAAGTCATAACAAAGTAGCCTGGTCCTCGCAGCTGTGCTTCCAGGATGGCAGCTAATTATTTCAGAACTGTGAGTGTTATTCAAATGCACTTCCCAGCATTTTTCCTCCTTCTGCTGACCGCGAGCAGCTTGCTGCGAATGTCTTCTCGTGCACGTTCAGAGGTGTCACTGGGTGCCTACTTGGGTTTCATTCACAAAACCACAGATTTTGAAAATTGCTTTGTGTATTCAATGTGGGATACAATCCTGTCTGAAGCTGATGAAAAAATGTTTGTTAGCTTCAGCCCAGGGTTTCAGAAAATCATCTTTTCCACTAAGACAGTTGTTTTTGTTTTCTTTTCTAAATCCTCAAATCCTAAACTCTCACAACAATCTAGTCACTAATTTGTTTTTACTTAGTATCCAGATTTTTGACAGCACAACATGGTTTTGTACCTTTTGAGGCCTGGCTTTTTGAAAATGAGACTCATAGAGGATGCAGCTCCCTGCAACACGGCTGTTCCATATGCCCCATGCCCTGCAAACGCAGCCTTGCTTGTGGGTACTGGAGCAGGTGTAATTGGGCTGGTGCTCTGAGCGAACAGAGCACAAGAAGTCCTGCGTGTGCAAATCTGAAATTCAGTTCACTGCCACGCACAAAAATCTGCCCCTTGCTAGCTGGGAACAGGCCGTACGCTGCGGGTCACATAAAGAAGTTTGTAGAAGCACTGCCCCAAAGAGATCTGAATGCAGGCTCAATTAAAGGACTGAAACATCTGCATGTGTGTTTGCAGGCTGTGTTTTCTCCCTGATAACTGAAGTCATAATGTACATAAAGTGCTTAAAACCGATTTCGTCACAGTTAAAATTGAATATGACGGTTACTCTAGAAAATATGGCCTATTTCCTTTTACTAGTTAGCTTTTAAAGGTGTTTTACAATTCAAATGAGCCATGCAATTAAAGGTGACATTGCCAAAACTGGACAGACTAAAATTAGACATTCCTGCTGTGTGTTAGAGCTTGGCCCACATTTAGCTCACGCTGTCTTTGGGCTGTACCTGTCTGCTCCAATCTTATGAGTCAACAGGATACTGAAATGTTCCAGAATCCTGCTCTTTGTGTTTCTCTGTTCTTTCTGTCTTCTAGCATTATGCTGTCCTTCCTTCCCTTTATAGCATTTAATGCTCAAAACCACACTCAGGGGCACACACTCGTGCACATACATGCACTCAGAGCAATATTTTAGCATGTTTGCATAGAGAACTAGGAAGCACTTCATTATTATTACACTTACTGACTTGACCACTATAAACCCATAATTAGAAACAATCCCTGAGTTTACAATCCTAATAGCAGGCAGCGGGGTGGCAGGCTGTTATCTGTGCTTCTTAGCTAATAAACTGAGGACCAAAGGGGAGCTTCAGCCCTGCTAGGCTTGGGCCACAGTCACTTACAAATGCTTTGATCTGTGTAGATTCAATGGGATACCTTAGTTACAAGGTTATATTGAAAAAGATGATTTTCCCACCTGTGGGTGGGAGCCTGGAGCAGCGCAGAGGGTTTTGGGGATTTTGAGGAACACACAGGAGGTCACTGGCAGCAGCAGTACCCAGAGCTCCTGACATCCTTCTAAAAATCCCTATGCGTTAATTAAATACATAATTATATGGTCCCTAAGTAATCAGTGACATGATTGCCATTAACATTTAACAATGCAAAGCGTTCTGCCATGGTTTGGGAACAATGTGTTAGTGTGGAGACTCCTGAAAATTCCTGTCATCAATAGCTCAAGGCAAATTAGAAAGTCAAAAGTGAGGGATATCTCCCTGACAATGCCTGTTGTTCTTTGAAAACAGGACGTGGCCACAGAAAAATTCTCCTTCATTTTGGGTGCATTTAATAAGACCATCTTCAAGTCAGTGAAGTCTGTAAAGTCACAATTTAGCCACTCAGATTGGTTTCATATCAGTACAAGTGAACTGCCTGACATGATCATACTCCTTTTTATCAGGTAAGCGAGGAAAAATACTTATTTTCTTTGTGGAAGAGCAGGTTGGGTTTTAATCTTTATGGTTGTGTACTGTGTGTGCACAAATATGTGTAAACTTCAAAATCTGGCACAGAAATTATATTGAAATTCTGTGGGTGTGAATAGTGCTAGCAGCCTGAAGAACGTACTATACGTGTATTTTAACTCACCCAGTATAGCTCCCTGCCAAGACAAGATTATATTCTGCAATACATAAAAGTGTAGTGTTTGCATAGCACCTCTAAGGTACTAGGTGCTTTACAACGTGCTGTGGAACTCCCGTGTTATAAAATAGTGTATAAATATGCTAGGAACTAGCTCTATTGCCTATCTTTTTTCCTAAATGCCTTTCACCATGTATCATTGGAGCCCTAAAGCCTGTCCCACGAACATGCCATCTGATTCCAGGAGCAATGAACTTCAAAAAAAAAAAAAAAAAACAACACCAAAAAACCACCACAGTCACTTTTTAATGGCACTGGTTACAAGATCCAGGTCTTTTCACACCGGGACAGTCATTTGAATCCAGACCAGGTTGGTAGTTATGTCTGCTGAGTGACCTATATGAAAAGAGTTCTTGGTTTCAATCCAGTTCCTAATGGAAAGATGCCCAAGCTGCTGAAACGAGCATCCCAGCTGGCCGCGCCGCTAGCAGCGCGAGCACCGGGGTGAGCTGGGAAGGTGCCATGGAGCCAGAGCCCGCGCCTCGCCCCCACGGGTGGTCTCCTTGGGTCAGGGCTGAAACACACTGGTGATGGTGACACGGGGTAGCTTGCACTACTCCGTCTGCTGTACAGATACACGGAAAAACTCTTTCTCCAACTGTGTTTCAGTGGCACTGTTCCGACTTGCTTTAGAGGTTATTAGGTTCTTGCTGCAGAGTGAACACTTGAAAAACTTAAGGACCGCTCTCTGATGCCAGATTCGGCTCCAACCGTACAGGGCTGTTCTGTACAAGTAATTTCTGGAGTGAATGAGATAATTGTGGGCTGCTACAGCAGTGCCACTATAACAGAAAGCAGAGTGCACATAACTTGGATTGAAGGTGATTTACCACTGGAGCCACCTCCTGAGCGACACAGTGGATTTCCATCTGTTGCAGCCTTTACACCAAAACTGATGTTCCAGAAGAGATGCCGCAACTCAGACAGTTGTTACGGGTTTGTTGGAGATATTTCTGCGTGATGCATGATGTTCTTGGGGTTGTGCTGTTCAAGAGGTCATCCTAAGCCGTCTTTTTGAGCTGGCCTTAAAATATATGAATGTGGTGACTGCTGCAGAAAGATTGACATGTGGCAATATTTGCCCCAGAGATTTTATTGTCAGCACTAAAATGCCTTTCTGTTAATCCTTTAATAGCTGTCGGCTTCATATCTGAACTCGGAGCTCTCTCAAAGTCTGGGGTCAGCACAAGCTCGCGCTCTCCGAGCCCCTCCAGCAGCCGTGGCAGCGTGGACCCTGACACGACAAGCCAAGAGCTCCCGCAGCATCTCCCCCCACCTCTGCCATCGTGTCAGCAGGTACAAATACATTCCCTGGCAGAAAGACACATAAATCCCAACTGTCAAGAAACAAAGCACTTTTTAAACTTTAACGAGCAGACTAATGGAAATAAAATACAAAGAAAAAGAAAAAAGGAGACTAAAATGTTTTTTATTTTGGTATTCTGCAGGAAAAAGTGTGTACACTAAATAATAAATAAGCCACGCAGTGTTTTTACAGCTTCTTTCATATGCGTGAATATTTAAAACATGCAAAAACGTGGAATAGGCATTTACTGAGGACAAAAGAAAAGAACTTATTTTATGTGCAGAGAGCAAGATGGGGAAAGCAGAGAGATGCATGTTTAATGGATCGGTGCTCGCAGAAGGGAGGTATTTCCAAGTGTGAACGTATTTGTAGACAAACCAAGCTGACAAGTTAGCTTGGGGAAGACATATTACAGCAGAATTGGCCTGGGAAACGGGATTTTGTTGTGAGGGTGCTCGTTAGTGCAAACAGTGCCTGCTGGGTGGTGGCAGCCTAGCAGCCAGGTGCTCCAGCTACTCTGGAAGTCCTCAGCCCTGGTTTCTGGTACCTGAGAGCTCCTTATATGTAGCCAGTAAAAGATACACGACTTTGCATACCTTTGTTGTGATTGGAGCTGGAAGGGACTCATTGCTGTGCCCCTTGTGTTTTGTAGGAGGGAGAGGGAGCGCAGAGATATGGGTACAGCCGCCTCGCCTAACGCAGAGCAGAGAGGAGGAGTATTTCCTTCAGCTTTGGAACAGGTACCGTGTGAAGGGCAATTGCAGCTGAGGAAAGAAAAGAATAGTTTCACAGTGGTAAGGAGAGAGACAGCCTGGAGAAGCATGGCACGTGAGGCTATCAAGGGCTTTCTCCATGGCTAGCTGGGCCATGCCTTTGTGTTTGGAAGTCGCTGAAACCGAAGAAAGAAAGGCCTGTTGCCATGACTGGCAGGGTCTCATTATTCACTATTCCATGGCTTATGGTTTAATGCTTGTTTAACTGGATTTTTTTTTTTCCCTGACTTTTGATTTCTTTTTGCCAACTTTATATTTTAATACATGTTTTTATGGAAATATTTATAGTGCACATGTTGCATATAAAACACCATCATAAAGCTTTTTTCCTTCAGCCCTGTTGAAATAAATGATGTTATTATTATAATAATTTCATAGGGTTATATCTGTTCGGTAATGAAAAAGACCTGTGGCTGCTTGAACCATCAACCCAGGCAGATTTTACAGCTTTCTGTAGCTGCAGTGACCTCATGGAGCTGCTGGAACTTTTAAATACCCCGTTCCCCAGCCGAGGGGGGCACGCAGGGCAGAAGGAGCAGCTAGGAGGAACAGGACACTTGCATGCTGCCTTGCAGAGGACTGAGCATTGGTTTCATTGCCTACATTGCAGAGATTTTGTGTCCACCATCAGCTTAGCAGACTTGCAGGTGTGTTTCTGAACAAAAATAGGTCTGAACGAATGTGTGCAGGCAGGCACACGATGCACGTGTTGGTGCTTTTCTCTGCTGGGATGTAGGCTGGAAGGGGAGCAAGTATCAGACTAGCAAGATAAGGACTGAGTATGTGGGCATCTATTGGGATAGGCTTATGTACATGTGCGTGCATGCATTCTCACAAGCTTTAATGATAAATTTAAAAAAGGCAAGGCAAACAACTGTAAAGTACGGTGGATTTACAGCAGATTTTAAAAATTAATACTCAAACATGAAAATGCTTTATACAAGAAAGAAACCTTTTAATAACTTCTCCGTCCTAGGAAAAAAAGGATAATGAATAATTCAGCTACACACCAAGAAAACCGATTTGCTGAACAAGTGTAAAATAAATCTGAGGGAGAACTTGTCCAGGTTCCCTAAATTAAGAACCTGGTTTGGGAATGATAAAAGTAAAGCTCGATATAGCATGAGAGTTTCTGTAATACTTAAACATGGAGAGAAAGACACTAGAACAGCACATTAATGCAGCAGCACCTGCGACTCCCTGTAACTTGTCCGTGGTGTTATCCTGAAGACTGCACTGTGAGATTGCCTTCTGTTTATGGGTACCACAGAAAGGTGAGCTTGAGGAGGAAGGCTGGCCTTCTCTTCTTTTGCCACAGATCACAGTTTGAAATATTTTGTGCTTATGCACAGCCTCCCTCAGCAAAGTCACGTGTAAGCTGGAGTCACATGAAAAGCAGAGGGATTAAATCATATGCTGGAGGAGATTTGCTAGTTAGAACTGGTTTGCCTGCAGAATAGGACCCAAATCTAATCTGTGAAGAAATAAATGCCTTAGTTATCCCGGAATAACCCCAAGACATAAGTCAGTAATGAGTCTTTAATACAGACTTCAACTTGCACTAGAGATTTTCAAAGAATTTCATAATCGATTGGTGGCATTTTAGAAGCAGCTGCATCTGCAAAAACACCTGCTGGCTCCTATTTGTTAGATCTCCGAGGGGAAGTAATGGTCAATGGCTAACAAAGCTGACACCAAACTTCCAAGCAGGGAGGACAGCGGGATGCCTCTGACAGATCAAGGTCATCATCCTCGGAAGCCCAATTCTCCCTTCCAGAGAGGGGCTGTCCTTCTACTCCCAGTGATGCTCTGCAGCTTAGTTACCAGCTGTGAGTGCATCAGATCTGAGAGAAGCCACTTGAGACAAAGACCTTGGAGACATCTTTGCCTGTCACAAGGACTGCTGAAGGTTGGGCGCACTTCTGGAAATGGCACTGCTCTGGGTGCCTCTTGTGGAAGGCCCCTGCTCTATGCACGCCATCTTCTTTTCCACTTCTGTGGTGGGATGGAGCATAGGTGGGGTGCGGAGGAATTCCTGGTAGAAAGGACTAGTGTTTCCTTACTTGTCAGCTTGCTTCAGACACAAATTCATTTGCTGCCCCTGAAGCAACCCGGTCAAGGCTGTGTGGTCTGCTTGGAGGCCCGATCCTGTTTCTGATCCATGGGAGGTGCTCTGCATAGACTGAGCCCTTTCTCTGCCATGCTATAAAAGAGTTGGGCCTTGCGTACTGCGCTTTGGAATGAGCCCCTTGGAGGAACAGGCTCCATAAAGTTTTTATAACCCATATTTTATAAGGTATAGTGAGTTGGACGAAAGGAGTTCTTTTTCACGTGTATATGTGCATATGAATCAGAGCTAATGCACAGGTAATTCAGCCTGGCAAAGTAGGCTGGACCACAGTCCCAGTTCCTGTCTAAGCTGACCTCTAGGATATGGATGAGAATAAAGTTGATGCAGAACAGTATGGCAATGGTTAGAGATGTGGTAAAAACCCATCACCTTCAGAGCAGAAGAAAGAGCTCTCGTGGTGCTAGTCCCCATGTCCTCGAGTGGTGCCGTATGAGGGTTTTGCCAGGGAAGGACCAACCTTCTCCACATGGCGTTCTGTAGGTTTGAAGAATTGCTTGTAACAAATACTCAGAAAGTGACTGTGCATTATGTAACGGTTTTTTAAACCTTAATGTAATTATGATGAGTGTTGTAGGCATATTAAGGCATTCCCTCTGCCATTGAGTGAGAGTGTGAAAGAGACACCAACACGAAGGATTGCTTCTCTTTTTTCTTCTTTTTTTTCCTAAAATTTTCTCCAGTGAAGCCCAGAGTTTTTGTATCTTGTTGCATCTCTGATTACAGAAGTTCCTGTATTGAATGCTGAGCACATGAAGCATTTATTTATGCATCTTTTTATCTCATGGGCTCCACAGGAGCAAATCTTTCCATTCCCAACCCATCCCTCTCATGGAAGAAACCCTTCTCACCTTTTGAAATGCTTTTAGAATTTGGGTTTTCAGCAGTCGTGTTCAACTTCAAAGGCTGGAAATGTCGGTGGTCTCCCCCATCCCTCTGCCACAAAGATGACCACAAGCTAGTGGGGATCACTGGTGTCCAGCTGCAGGAGGCACTGGCCCAATGCAACGCCCTTTGCTCTCCGATGAGCACAAAACCTGTAAAAAGCTGCTCCTGGCTCAGGGTGGACTTCTGCTGGGGGAGCATTTCAGAAGGGTGTCTGCAGTGGTCCAAGCTGCGAGACAGTGGAGAACTTGGTCGCAGTGTTTTGTAGTTAACAAAACAAAAATTAACGTTATTCTGCAACAGTAATTTAGACGTGGTCAAGGTTTTAGCAGTTGTAAGGAATATTACCTGCTATAAAGTCTGAACGGTGTTGAATTTACAAAAAGTGCCTGATGTAAAATCATACTGTCAGGAACAATTAGCCATGGTGCATAAAAAACCTCTTACAGAGATTACACTTCCCAGATTGTTTTACAGAGAAACTTTGTGTTAATGTTATGCTTTGAATGCCTTTTGCCGTGAAGCATTTAAGAAACAACAGTTTATAGTCTCAGATCTTTATGGTTTGGAAGAATGAACACTCCCCTCATGTTAGGCCAAATTGATGTTTTAAATTCAGGAGAAACCCCATCATGTTATAAAAAGGAGAGAATGTCCTAAGAAGAAAGTGGTCAAATCATTCCAAGATGTTATGGGTTTAAGTTTTTTTTTTTTTGCGCTTTTTTTTTTTTTTTTTTCCTACGGAAAAATTTTCATGATCCTGGGCATACGGTCAAAAAACACAGAAGTGAGATATTTTTAGACAAGCACATTTGGGATAAAGTTACCCGCCCCGGCGTGCGCATGGGGACAACCTGGGCTGCCCGCAGCGGCGTGGGCACCATGCGGGAGGTGTGCCCGGCCGGTGCAGAAGGTGAGGGTGTGAGCATCCCCTGCTCCTCGCTGCCTGGCTTCTCTCTGCTCAGAGAGGCCGTGTGTGCTCCGGGAGGGCTGCCTGCCGTGGGGATGTGCGAACCGTCCTGGCACGGGGCTCGTGATGCTCAGCAAGGCAGGGCTGAGGCCAAGCAAACTACAAAGAGCAGGATGCCTCCTCCTGCATGTCCTGCTCCAAGCTGTGATGCTGCAGTGGAAAGGAGCTGAAGGACAGGGCTGCGGGCAGGTGAGGAAGCCCCCCTGTTCCCCTGGTACTGAGGGCACTGCCACAAAGCCTGGCTCTTTCCTCTGGCCATCAGTTTTGGGGTGCAGCCACAATTTATCCCCCCCAATGCCTGTGCATCGCTGGAGCCCACTCCTGTGGCTCAGGCTCAGTTGAATGATGCAGGATCCAACTTTGTAAGTTCTGCCTGTAGTTTTTTTCCAGCCCTGTCAGCGCTGCAGAGCCAAGGCATCCCTGGCAGCTCGGGCTGGATTCTGTTTGGCCTCACGCATCATCACCAGGCTTGCCGGTTAATTCAGGCGGAGGGTGATGATGTGTGAGGCAGAAAAAGCACAGCCTGGCCTTCAGGTGCTGGGCACAGTCACCACAAAGGCAGGCAGGAAAATGCTGTTTCCATTTGTACACTTGAATTAGCGTGACCTGGGAATCCTGGAGGCTGCAGCAGAGCCTGGACCACGGCAAGGCTGACAGCACAGCCACGGAGGCATTCAGATGGCTGAGAAACCTCCATGGCAGCAGACTTCTGTCACTGTGGGCTGTGTGAGCACCAGGCTGGCACTGCAAGCCCAGGTGAGATCCCTGAGTGATGTTTTCAGCTCAGTTACACGCAGGACACTCCAGCATCCCTGCAGCCAGCACCCCAAACATCTGCTTCATGGCTGTGTGAGCCCACCCGTGTGCAGATGCCCCTGTGGGAGGCTGTTCTCTGGCTGTGTCCTCCTTAATGGGTTCCCTAGCTGCAATGGATGTACGACTATTTTTAGGAGTGGCCAGCAGCAGCCTGGCATTGGATCAATAGATGCATACCACGATGAACTCTTCGGGGTATTTTCAGTTCCCACTGCCCCATATTAGGAGACGTGGGACCAAAATAACTGGAAAAGCCTATAGCCATGCAAAGAACACAACATAAAATGCAGACCAGGAAACGGGCTGAGGTATGATCGTCAATAATGCTTAAAACTCACAGTCCACACAGTTTCTGGCAGGAATGAAAAAGAAAACCACACAAGATCCTGGAATATGTGTGCAGGTATGCACTGAGTTTATTCTGGCGCGAACTGAAGTATGGCCCTAATAAAAAAGTCCACATCTGACATTGTGTGCTGTTCTTTTGAACTGACACAGAGAAGGTTTATCGGGACAGTGACCAAGCTACATTAGGCCTTGGATTTGTAGATGACTAAGCCAGACGTTGGTCTGCACATGAATTTTGGAAGGCTGATGGCATCACATGCAGTCACAGCGCTGCAAATATTCACGTGTACGTAACAAGACCAAGGTGAGGAATGTTGGGGAGACGACCTTGGGAGTCCGCTCATTTTTTGGCTTGTAGGCTCAGGTTTGCACCTCCCAGAAGGAAGGAAGACACATGCCCTGAAGCTGGGAGAGAACTCCTCCTTTCTGTAAACGTGGTGTTTGGAGTGAGTCACACTGCTCAGAAGGGCCAGGACCTGATCCAAAGCTGACTGAGCTCAACAGCAGTCTTTCCACTAAATTTAAGGAAAGCTGGAGCCCTTGGATGGATGCTGACCACTTGGGAAGAACTCAGTGCCCAGGCAGCAGTACTGTAGACACAGAAAACCAGCCCTAAGCTCCCTTGGAAATGCTACTGTTTGCTCCTTTTTTTTTTTTTTTTTTTTTTTTTTTTAATTAATTCATGCATAGGACCGAAAAATCTCATCACAAAAGGCTTCACGAGCAGATGGTTGTACTGTGACCCCCCACACACACCTCACTTGTTCTTGTTTGTAAAAACACATGTAAAACAAGAAGTCATATGTGAGTTAGGCACTCTGCCTCTTAGGTGAGATTCCTCCCGAGTCCAACAGGAGCACCAGGAGTGCTTCTTTCAACTTCAGATTATGTGATATATTGGTTTGGTCTCAGAAGACACAGTGCTTCCTTATTTATGTAGCTTTGATCTAAAAAGCTGTTTATTTATGTTTTATTGAACTATAAAACATCCAGTAAACATGCCTTATGTTTTTATTATGTTCTACATGGACTCTGTCATGAAACTGTCAGGGAAAAATAATGAAGATCTTTATTGTGTTGCTGCTGGTGTCTTCCTTTGGAAGTTCCTACGCTTTGTGTTTCAGTTCAGATGACTGTAAAATTCATAAGGCCTGCAGATGTCTTGCCTGCTAAGCATCTGGAGGGGAAGGAAGTTTTTCCTTATGGAGTCCCAATGGATGCACTACTGGGGGCATTATCAGAAAATAATCATTTGGCATTTCTCTTCGGATGCCACTTGATGGGAGCTCTGTCAAAGCTGACTGGAGGTATGAATTGTGGTGGTGGGAGCTGCTTTCTGTGCTCAGCTGCTTGTGACAAGTTGAGGACCTGCTCTGTGCTTGCACCATCCCACAGCAGGCAGAAACTACCAGGAAAACCTGACCAAGGCCCGGGACACAGGCTCTCAGCCTTAATGGCACAGAATTCCTGCAGTGTCCTTGGGTAAGGACTTCCAGGTTTTTAGAGAATCGGTAATATCCTCAATTATGTAACAGTGCTTCCTCCCGGCTTACGGCGTTCCCAACATTGTTTTAAAAGAGCCAAGGTAGAAATTTGTAGTCCAAGGGAGCAGAGAAGGAGCACGGCCCTTGCTGATCAGCCCGGGGCAGGCCCAGGTGAGCTGCAGGTGTGTGCTGATGGGGCCACCCTGCAGCCGGCCCTGACTCCACCTTAAGCTCTTCATGCCACGTAGGCCCCACGCTCCTGGACACTCTCTGGTATGTTCAGGCCTTTCCAGAGGAACCTGGAGGGTTTTCTGGTCTCTCAGCTGCCTGGCCCTGCAGTGAGAGTGATTTTGGGTGGTGACTTGTGTGGGAAGCCTCCTGGTGCCTTTGCAGTAAAGGCTCCGGCCTTCGCGCTGGCGGCCATGGGCAGGTGGGAGCTGTGGTGGTGTGGGGGCCCTGAGGGGGCTGCAGGAAGGCAGCGAGCCCGTGGAGCCCTTCTAGGCTGTGAGTAAGAGTCCTGTGTATTATAAATGGTGTGTCAGGAGTTAGTGTGCTTCTTAGTTTCACAAATTGATGTTAGTGTTGCTGTGCCCTTCAGCAGGGTAGTGGTGGTTGCTCCTCACCCCAGGCCCGACCCAGCTGCTCCACGAAGGGAGCTTGCAAATGAGCATAGTGGGAAACGAGTCCTTTTTCTGATGTTGCTTCTCACCAGCTCTTTTTATTATGCTAATTTTTTCCTTTCTTTCTTTCTTAGTGGTCGAAGTCTTCTCTTCCTGCCTGACAGAAAACAGCGGTGAGGAGCCTCGTAGCGCCATTAGCTGAGCAGGTTGGTGCCCCGTGCGCGAGAGGAGGAGTGGGTTCTTCGAGGTGGGGGAGCCTGGAATGCTTCAGACTTACATGGGTATGGTTCAGCATTTCAGAAGTGTAATATCATGGCAGTCAGGATCTGGGCCTTGTGTTGATAGCTCTTTCTCTACAAAATGTGCTCTTCAAGCTGCTCTGAGACCCCTGCACACGAGTCCCTTCTGGGGGTCTGCAGCGGGAGCGATTCAGACATGTGAAAGTTTGCTTCCTTTCCATTTGAACGGCGAGCGAAAGGCTAATTCCATTTTACAGTCATCTTTGTACCAATATAGTTTGTATGTTGCATTTGACCTCCTGTAACAAGGTTAAACCACAAGGATCCCCTTGAGAAGTTGCTATTCATCTTTTATATGTGAAGATTTTCAAGTATAGAAAGGGGATAAACCTAATATGGTGTTTAATGGAAAAAAATTATGACACCAATAACACATCTGTGTCTGTAATTTCACAGGTTTTCTTTCTGTATATTTATATATGTATATATGTATAATTTAATATCAGCCTCAGGGTTGTGGTCTCACATGTCATCAGCTTGCAGGAAACTGGATCCTTGGACTAAGTATCAGATGAGTTGCTAATGTTTGGAAAAAAAGCAAAAAACATGCTTTGGGTCTCTGTTTTATGGCCGTTATTGAAGTAAGAATTTGTGATTGTAACCTGATGCTTGCCTCACCAACATGTTTTCATTATTGTCTGGATAATTGAAAGTCCAGGCAAATTTGGATGTTAGGAGATATTATACATGAAGGTCTCAGTGCTCAGCACAGCTGAATGTAGAGGTGGTTCAGATTAAGGATGAATGTTTCACCATTTTATGTGGGTTAGAGATTGTTTTATTCCCCACCAGCAGCAGTCCAGACACAGGCTGATTAACATGTACTTAGTTTACTTCCAGGGCTGCTTCTCCAGCACACCCAGGCTGTCATGCACGAGCTCTTGCTCTGAGCAAAGTGTAACTTCTCAGGCTGACTTGGCAGCAATTCAGAGTAAACTACTCACAACAATACAACGATGTATTTTATCTTGCTCTGTGAGGAAATGCCTAAACAAAAATGGGAGTCGAGTCTGAGCTAGCCTGCTTGTGTCTAAGGAGTGGAGGGGGGTTTAGAGGTGGAACTGTGGGAAAACGGCTTGCAAAATTCCTTTTAAATGTGCAAATGACTATTGTTGCTGCTTGTTAGTGTGGAAATCCCTGAAATGTCTTATCTTTCCTGGTATGAGCAAGACATTTCTGTAGAAAGAAGCTACTAGATCTTTCCCAGCCTGCAAAAAGGCGTTTAAGCCTTTCTGTCTGTCTTGGGCCAGTCCTTGCAGAAGTTTGGCTTGTTTTTGTTTGTTTATGCGAAATGGGTGGTCCTGGTTCAGTTTGTGGGTTCCAGGGCTATAAAAAAGCCCAGAACCTTGGTTTGTTGGCATGAGCTGACATTTGTTGAAAATCATCAGAGCCGAAAGGACAGATGATGGGGACCTAACCCAAAAGGTGGTCCTCTGTGTCAGAGAGACATGATGACAGGGGCACCTCTCTGCCATAGTCCAGGCCTATTCCTCTTCCGTGGGTAAACACATGATTTAAGTCCACAGGATTTATGGATCTAGCGGTTTCCCCACTACGTTAACGAAAAGTTGACATAGAAAAAGGTAAATGAGGTTTGTAAGCTAATCCCTATTAACTGGGCATAACTGGAAAATTAAACCAAACAAAAACTATGGGTGGCTTTGAAAAACACCATGAGACTTTTCTGCCAGATTTCTGAATCCTTTAATTAGATGCACGTGTCTCCACTGACTAAAAACCAGGGCTCGATCACTCATTAATCTTCACACACGAGGGGCAACCAGTTCAGCACAGCGTTCAGCCACGGCGCGAGCAGGCACTGGACAATGTGACAGCAGAGCGGCTTACTGCTGACCCGCCGCTTGGGTAAAAAGCCTTTGAACAATTGGAAAAACCTAACTCCATATTTGAGTTCTGCAAGGAACTAATTACTTGCCTGGACTCTGCCCACATACCAGCTTCTACCCCCATAAATCCACCGAACAGCAGGCATCCATGAAAGTCCTCCACACTTCTTTTCTGAATCAGGCTCTTTATGTGTATCTCAACTTGCTTGTGGAAGATTCATGGCCCAAGCTGCCTTAAGTATTTTTGTTATGAATAGGAACCCTTAAACATTTCCTTCTCATTTAATTTATCATTTTTTTTTAAGCTTTCAACACTGGGTGCAAGCTAGAAATAATGGGAGGCAAAGTTTGTCCCTGAGAAAAGGGCCTTAAAATAATAAAGTGTGCAGCGGGGAAGGAGAGGAACAAGGGAAATAAATTAGCCACTTGTGAGATGGGAAGTTTCTTGTGTCGTGTGGTTTCTGCATTTCATCCTGGTGTCTCTAAGTATTGACTTGATTCTGTGTTTGAGTGTGCTTTTAGGCACAAATGAGAAAACAGCAAAAAGAACAATGACAATTGGAGCAACTGTGTCCCATGCTTGCTGCTGGCTTTGGGACATGGAGGTGTGCAGAGGTCATTCCTCGCTGCCAGGACTTCTCAGAAGGAAGGCTGGCCAGAGATAAATGCAGCTCAGTAGTTCCACTTCTGCAAGGTTCTTGTTAATAATTAATTATTAAGCACTGGTGATTTATTTCCACCCGCACCAGTGTTTTTTCTCTATGTGGGCTGGGAAAGTTAAGGCTGTGTTTTGAATTAGGGGTTCAAACAAATCTGCTCAGCTCAAAAGGAAACGGAGTTGAAAACACTGACTTCCTCCTGGTCAGGCATCACAACAATAAACCTGTTGAGATTTCACTTGGAAATGGGTTGTGGATTTGCTAATAAGTTTAGTAAATCATTTTACAGCTGGATTTGTCCTTTAAGTTCATAACAGAATACAATGCCTAATACTAGCAATATCTCTAGAATTTAAACTAGAGACACGTTTGGAGTAAATGCTTTGTTTACTGCATCTTTAACAGAATAAGGAAATTCAAATTAAATATAAAAAGGCTGTTCTGATCTATACAGAATCCCTAAGATTATACAGTGAGGAATACCTGTATAGTCATCAGGCTTTCTATGAAAAAAAAATATGAAATGCAAGTCCTGAGCAATTGTTTCATGTGCAGCTTGGCCCTCAGATACAATAACAGGCTACTTTTCTCAGCTGCTGAAAGCCCTCTTTTACGGGGGCAATTTGGTTAGATGCCTTTTCAAAGGGAAATCGTATCCACCTTGTTTTTGACTGCGTGCTGTGTACGTGTGGTGTACGGGCTTACAAATGTGCAAATCGCTACCAGAGTAAGAACGAACCTTACCACGGGCAAACGATATGGTGTGTGCGATGTAAATTTTCAGGAGTTTCATGTTTGGTCAAATCACACTTTATAAAAACTCAGTGACAAACCTCGAGTTGTCTTTAGGTGGAGCAGTTCTCTTCCTGTTGCTGAGCTCACCTTGGTGTTTGCGAGCCGGCTCTTCTGCTGCTGGGACACTCGAGCATCTCCGAGCTGAGTGCTGCAAATGAGGTGCCCGGATGAAATGCGGTTACCTTCCCAGAAGGCGAGGCTTATCACCTCCAGGGCTGCTCTGCTTTCCACTGACTCAGAAGGAGAACATTTTTCACTGCCTGTTCCAAACCAGCCAGGGAGGTGGAAGACAGCCTATATAGTTTCATCTAATCTGATGCTGGAACTCAGAGAGCATTGCATTGGTTAGCTGTGATTCAGAACGTTAACCACTAAATCAGTTAGAGGAATTTATAATTCATTTCAGCTATTGCAGGATTTAGTACAATAAGATCATTATTGCCTTGAGATATCCTTCAGGTCATTAATTTAAATTAGAAATGCCTTCAAACAGGATATCACGCACAGCTCCTTCCATGGATTCTGGAGTTTAAGCTCAAGAAATACTTCCTGCCAGATATATTGCTTTTGCAAATGTGAGTCGCTGCTTCCCAGTTGTGTAATACCTGACTGTTTACAGTTCTCAAAGGTGGCATTGCAGAAGTGGCACAAGTATTCTTAATTATGCTAATTACCATTGCTGCTTTGTAAAGGGCTGAATTCTTCTGTAATTGAATCGCTCTCCTACGTTCTGTGGTGATTTTGGTGTCACAGGGGTGGGGTTTATGTTGATTGCACAACTCGCTTCTAACTCACATGCTAGGGCTATAAAGCCAGAGCATCTCCGATAGCAGCAGCAGCTCACTGCAGCTAGTTCGTAAGAATTGGCTATGGTGGGAGGTGTTAGAGGAAAAGTAACTGTGATTGTATGGGTGAGGTGGGCATCTGCTGCGGAATGCAGCTCCTGGAATAGGGACAAGGCCTGGGCTAGGGGCAGGACTTGGTACAGGACGTGGTGGTGTGAGCTGGGGCTGAAGGAAGGGCTGGGGCCAAGCCAAATGTGACGGGATGAGCTGTGCGTGAAGGAGGCAGAATGCTCCGAATACCTGGGGCTGTGGGAGGCTTCTTGTGAAGGCAGCCCTCACAGCCAGGTGTTGGGCTGGCATATCAGCAGGAAGGCTGCGGGCAGAAATAATTTTCCAGAGTGGATCAATATGCCACCAGCCACCTTTAAAAGTAGCCTATAATCTGAGCAATTGTTCTTTGAACAGAGTGGTCTTAAAATGGAAAGAGAACATCAAGAGGTGGGTATTACTGAGTTAGTTTTCTTTATCACCTCTTTAAGGGATTTTTTCTTTTTTATGGTGCTGTCATCAGCGGTTGATAACATTGCTGCTTTTGAATACATGGAGATTCTTTTTACACACCTGAGAACAGGCCTTGTATAAAGCCAGGGAAAAAAAATTGTTAGTTTCTGCTCTGTGCATTTGATGATGGCTTCCTGAAAGGCACGAGGGATGTCTGCAGGAGTCCCTGTTGCTTTTAGAAGAGTATCGTAAGGACTTTATGGGGGGAAAATACTGCAAAAGCAAATACTGGGACTCTTCCATTCAAACCATGGTGATCT